CAATTCATTTTAAAAGTATTTACATTTATTTATAAAATTTTCATAACAAAATTTAAGAGATGAAATAGTTAAGAAAATTACCTTCTTATTTCTATATTTTTAAATATATAAAAACAAAAATAATCGACTAAATACACATTATTTTGCAAATATTATTCAAAACTTTGCCACCTACTTATCTTACTCCAACCAAAAGGTGGTAGGTAAGAAAGGTTCTCTTTCTCAATCAATGTGGTTATGCTGAAATGTGTGCATTTTATCATATTTAATTATTGAAGGACAATCTTTGTTGGCAAACAGTTCCTTTTTACTTAAAAAAAACTTATACTCTCTTCGTCTTAATTTATATCAAATATTTTAAATTATAAGATTTAAATAAATTTATTTTTAACAGTAATTTTTCATTTATCTTTTAGATATTTTTCATTATTAATTATTGTGAGTTATAATGCTTATATATATATATATATATATATATAAAAGTAAGATTTCATATATAAATTATCAGTCAAACTCAAAAGATTTAACTTTTATAAAAAAATACATCACATAAATTAAGACATTGAAAATAGAGTAAATATGTTCACCGACAGCTGCATTCTTTAAGTCAAAAATAGAGTGGATTCTTGGAATGGTTATCCAACTTGTAAATATATATTTCTAAAAATAATTTTGAATAGTATTATTATCATATTATGCATATTATTTCCAATGAGGTGTAAAGTAATGATAAAAACAAAATATTTAACCGAAATTTATGCATTTTTCTTTTTTTAGAACCATTTTTCCAAATACACTTCTTTTTAATGAAAAATGACTTTCATCTTCTCCTATTATGTTGCATAGACATTAATCTCAAGTTTGCAACTAAAAAGATTTGATATATAAGAAATTCCTCTTAAATGAAAATAAAGACTAGTTTAAAAGAAAAAAAAATCAAAAACACATAATTATCTATAATTAGGTTGAATTTTAAACAAAAAGGCAAATTAAAACGATAATTATTTAAAGGCTCTGAAGTGATACATTTTTATGTTTTTTAACCAAAAAAATTCCATCTTCATTTTTCTCTAATTATATGAATGTAATTTATTTTATTAAAATATATTTGAAAATATTGGATCTAAAAATGAATTCTAAAAATATACATACATAAGCCTGCGATAAAATCTAAATTTTTTGGTTACTTTTCATCACCTTATTGAAAATATGTGCATAGTTTGATGATTATATTATCCAAAAAGAAACCAAAATAACTCTATTAAGATATTTTTACAAATCTAATGGAAATATAATTTATTTTTTTAGTTAAAATAATGCAGTTGATGAAGGATGTATTGTTTAAGCAATATTTTAGCACATTGCCCATATGGTACAAAATGACACCCGTCAGGAAACAAAAGTCTCCTAGGGACTAGTGCAAGTGGGTCCTTTTGTCCCATAAAATTATTTACTTTTGTTTTTTTAAAAAAATATTTAGTTTAATTTTATATAAATTTTAAAAAGTAAAGGTTTTTTTTATGGTATGATTTTAAATTAAAATTATGTTATAAATATCAAAATGTCTTTTAAAGGGTTGCTAAGAAAATAATTATTTTTTAAATAAATTAGAAATGATAACGATGTGGATAACATAAATCGTATGAAAACTTCAGAAGACTTAGATGAACATCAAATAAAGATACTGAAGGTCCAACGAAAAAAAAAGAAGAAGAAGAAAGTGACAATATGTGAAAATGATGCTCTCACAAATTCAAAAATTCACAGAATAATATGGCCAAATAAGATCTTTATCTCACTAGGGGTAAAATTATCAAGAAAATATTTTTTTAATTTTCTTAATATAAATAATATTTTTTGTTATTTGGGAACTTAGATTATCAAGATTATGATGAATTTAATATAGAGAGTTTTGAAACTTATAGTTTCTAGGTCAAGTCTAATGTTAGTGTAATTTTTAATTGGTAAGTGTAATTGTGTGATTCAAGTGATTTTTCAATATTAATTATGTAAATTCTTTTAACTTAATCAATCATTGAGCTATTTTATTTGTGGATGCAATTTGATTTTCTCATTTTTTATTGAATTTGGGTCATTGTTATTTTATCGAGTTCAATTGAGAGATGCAAATATAAAGACTTTTGTCGCTCATAAATTCGATTAGATTTCGATAATTGTTCATGTATATTTATTTCTTTCAATTGCTCCTTAAATTCTTATAAAAAACAGATTACTCTGTTTAATTCGAAGGAAATTCTTATAAAAAATATATTACTCTGTTTAATTCGAAAGAAATATAACTTCTAATTTTATTTTGGGAAAAGGATCAAAAATTCCCTTAAGCTATGTGAAAGGAACAACCCTTCGTTTATAGTTTGGTAAAAAAAAAATGTTCTTACCGTCAATACTTTGGTTAAAAATGCCCTTAAACTATGTGAAAGGAACAAAAATGCCTCCCCCCCCCCCCCACCCCGTTTGTAGTTTGGTCAAAAAATATTCTTACCATCAATACTTTGGTCCAAAAATGTCATTGTTATTTAATGGGTCGAAAAAGTTTACTTTCAAAATAAATGTATTTTTCTTCTTGACACATTTTTTTCAATTAATGTGTTTTTAAAAAATTATTAAATGTTTATCTTACTTTAATTTCAAAAAAAATAAAAAATGAAAAAAAGGTACATAAAATTATTCTATTTTAATTGATAAAATGAGTTAAGAAGAAAAAAAAATATTTCCTACATTTCTATTTGTTAAAGTGATATAGAAGAAAGAAAATAAAAATAGTATTCCTTAATGATATCTTAATTAGAAATAAGATGTGTTTAAAAAGAAAAAATACTATAAAGGGCATTTTTGACAATTTTTGTAACTATAAGGGCTTTTATGAACGAAATTATTGAATGCAGTGACATTTTTGAGTCAAAGTATTGTCAATAATAACATTTTTTAATCAAACTATAAATAAAGGACATTTTTATTCCTTTTAACATAGATTATGAGAATTTTTTACCCTTTTTCCTTTTATTTTTAATAAGTATGTTTAGAAATTTCTCATGTAGCAGTTTCTAAAGTACAACTTAGTTAATTCCTTTAAAATACAATATTACTCTCTATTTTTAAGAAGGATCTAATTTAAATTGACTTAAAATTATTTTTAAAAAATTATCTTAAATATATTACATAAAAAATTAAAATTAAAATATAAAAAATTAAATATTTTTTTAAGTAGACTAAAGCCTGGAAAAATTAAATTGAGACGGAAAATAAAGTGTGATTTGACCCACATGTACTCCTTAAAGTAAATATAATAATACTCCTAGATTCCATTTTTGAAGCCACTTGATAAATGAATGACTTAGTCAAAAGGCCAAAATATTAAATCATTTTTGGCAGTATATAAAGGGTATAATGTCCAATATATCATTCAATTTTGTTACATAGTTAATATATATTTCTCGTTATGAAAATAGTTTAAATATGTATTTATTGTTATATAAATGATTCATATATATTTTATTGTTATAAAATGAGTGCAGATATAATATATATTCTTCATCAGTAAAAAAAGAAATAGTTTTAAATTTATTATTTTAACTTTTTTTTTAAAAAAATTATGTAGAAATATATATACGATTCTTCTAACAAAGTCTAAGGTATATTTTAATACGTAAATTATTTTTTATCTCTTTGATTAATATTTATCATTATTTGAGTTTTTTATTTTTTTCTTTCATTTTTGAGTTTCTCATTTTTACGACTATATTGAATTTAGTTCCCATATTTTTTTATTTGTAAAAATAAAATAAAAATAGATATTTCTGATAAATTTTACGAGAAAATTAGTGAAACATAAATAAATTTAAACATTAAAAATAATAAATTTAAATTAATTATTAAATAAAAATATATATAAAAAAACTTGTGAGGACGGAGGAGGATCATATACGAATTGTATTTTTTTCAGAAAAATATTTAAAAATCAAATTAAAATTATCTTTTTCACTTCTCTTTAGAAAAACGTGTGTATTAGCTATTTATATAACAATTAATATATATAAAAATTATTTTTTCAATAAAAAGTATATTAATTTTAAATGATAAAATCAAAAGATATATCAAACTATTTTCCTTTAAATGACACTAAAAACACAAATTAATGTGATAACCAACCACTGAACAGCTAACACCTTTTTTTTTTTTTGGCACATAGCTACCTGCTACAAAATTATTGACAGTTTTTACAGTTCAAACTTCAAATAATTGAGTTGCATAAAATTTAATAAATTATTTGAATTTTGTGCATATTTACCTTTGATTCAATAAAAAGTTATTAATTAATACGCTGCTCTTACAAGAATAATTAATAGAAAAAACTTCTAATTTATATCGTTAAATATTTCCGTATGTTATATATTAACAATTCATTTAATAGGTGTTTAGATTTGTGATTTTATTTTTTGATTTGAAATCATGAAATGAAATCTTAATTTCTAAAAAGATTGATTTAAAAATTTTAGGAAACAAGATCTGAAAAATATTTTAACTTTGATTGAAATTGTTGTAACGATAACAAACTTCATAGAGGATCTTTTATCTCATGCACTATTTAACAGTGTATTTTAAATGTATATATGTGCTCACGTGGACAAGTTACCATTATACAATATTTTATGATATCCACGTGAATACATATATATAGCTTTAAAATACTTTGTTAAATATTGTATGAGAGAGGGCTAAAAGGTTATTTTAAAAATTCTATATTATAACAACAATTTTGATTGAATTTTAGACCCTTTTTCTCAAATTTTCTGTCATGATTGATTCACAAACTTATGTCTTGTAAAAGAAAGCCCACCATTTTATATCGACATACGATATAAAAGTTGAAATTGCATGTCCAAATAAAAATTTCAATTTTTTTTATTCAATTTCATTTCATATCACGTGATCAAGCCGACCGACCGAGCCTACTCTTCTATAAGTAGCACGTGAATGTATTCCATTTTGCAGGAAAAAACATTCTTCAATGGCGACTTTTTCTCTTACCAAAGTCTCCTTATCCGTTTTACTCGTCTCTTTATTCTTCTTTTCTCCTTCATCTGCTCAAACTAAATGCAACGTTAACTCCGTTTACCAACTCGGCGACTCCCTCGCCGACGCCGGAAATGTCATCCGTACTCCCGGCGCTTCCATCATCTTCCGCGCCGACCGTTCCCCTTACGGCGAAACTTTCTTCAGAAAACCCACCGGCCGCTTCTCCAACGGCCGCGTTATCACCGATTTCATTTCTCAATCATTCAAACTTCCATTCCTCAACGCTTACTTAGACAGAACCGCATCGTTCAGTCAAGGAGTAAACTTCGCCGTCGCCGGAGCTACCGCCCTCGATACATCCTTCTGGACTGCACGTAACATCCGTTTACCCACCTGGAACACACCGCTTTCAAATCAATTAACTTGGTTCAAATCGCATCTGAAATCGACTTGTGGATCGAAATGTGCAGAGAATTTGAAAAACTCGATCGTAATAATGGGGGAATGGGGAGGAAACGATTACTACAATTGTTTCTTCCAGAGAAAGCAAATCTCCGAAGTCAGAAGTTACGTTCCGTTTGTTGTTGCAGGGATAATGAGAGGCATCAAAGAGGTGATTCAGCTGGGAGCAACACGAGTGTTGGTTCCGAGCATTTACCCTCTCGGATGCCTTCCATTATACCTCACATCCTTCCCTGATAACAATACAAGTGGTTACGATCAATTAGGATGCCTGAAAAGCTTCAATGATTTCGCTTCCTATCACAATCGATTCGTGGTTAGAGCTATGGCCAATCTACAACGTCAATTTCCAAATGTTAGTATTGTTTATGGTGATTTTTATGGATCAATTTTGTCACTTATTCGTAATCCGTCTTCGTTTGGGTTTAATCAAAATACATTGCTGAGTGCATGTTGTGGAACTGGAGGAACACATAATTTCAACTTCAGGACTGTATGTGGAGGAGCTGGGATTAATGCTTGTTCGAATCCAGCAAAGTATGTTCATTGGGACGGAATTCATTTGACAGATGAAGCTCATCGTCGTATTTCTGAAGTTCTGGTTAGAGATATGTTAGCCAAATTCAACTGCGTCGTTTAAAATTGGATTAGCCGTGACGTAAGACAGTGATAATGTCTGCATATTTTATTTATCAAACCTCATTAGATATTTTGTTGTTGTATCTTTTCCACGTTGTAGCGAAGGAGAATTATTTAAAGCTTAAATAAGATTATGAGTTTGTGTTTGGGATAATATTTAATTAGTTTGGTATTTGAAGAAAATAAAGGACAGAGTGTTTTTCTTTTTAAGTTATGTTTGGTATAAGTTTCATTTTGAAAATAATTGATATTTGTTGAATGGAATATCATTATTGCACTTATGATCGTCTTTAAATTAATTTTGCCAAATGAGAGCATGTGTTATTTCAGAACTAATTAGTTTAATTGATAGTAAAAATATTTGAGAATAATTTTGTTTTACTTTAAGTCATTTGAACACATTAGAAAACAAATGAGACTAATAAGCAGTTTGTCTTCATTCTGTCAATCAGAATCATTATACTACGAACACAATTGAGGACATTTACAATAGAAAAACCGATCAAAATCAGCCTACATTGTTTCAAAAGAACAAATTATGGGTTGTTCAGTGATTCAATAAAAAAAAATGATATAGTTAAGATACCTGAAGGAAAAAACCCAATAAGTTTAGAAAATTTGTCTACGAATTCAGCCTAAAAACAAAATGTTGCGACTCACATGAGTTTGACACACTTTCATCCTAATAACTTTGAGTGTCCATCGAAATTGAATATATATTTAAAAGAATAATATTTTAAATTAAAACAAAGAGAATAATATTTAATATTCTCTTGATTCATATTTATTTGTCCATATTTACCTAACCTATTTTTTAAAAAATAAGTAAAATATCAAAATTTAATAAATGAAATATTGAATAAATAAAAAATGGAGGAAAAAGTATGGAATGTCTGTCTAAATAACATTCAACCAAACAAAGATGCATTGGGACAAACGGTTGGTCGACATGTTTTCTTACCATAAAGGGATAATGCTTAGCTGTTAATTACATATACTGCGCTTTGTTTCTAATTATTTGTTTAATTTTTATTAATATATTTATTAAAAAATAATGATTGATAACAAGAATTTATTATTTTTATTCAAGTTGAATAATTTAAAAATTTCAAAAAAATCTGTTTTTTTTAGATAATTAATTAATAATATAACAGAAAAAGAAATCTCTTTCTTTTTTAATTGTTTTTAAAAATAAATAATTAGTAATAATTAATGAATAAACAAGTAATTATAAAAGGAGAGAGTATTTATTATAATTTTATGTATAATTTTCTTAGCCTTTTAACAACAAATGCTTGTCTGGCCATGTGATTCCAACTTCACTTCTCATTGCAATTACAACCGACACTTTTGACTATTTCTAATACTAACTTTTAGCCTTTTTTTTTTTAAAAAAAGATTTAGTTTTTTAATTTCGCAACATACTTTTTCCCCCTATTTTATACTCTTTTCGTCTTTTTTTTTTTTTGGAAAAAAAAATTTATTCGTATCAGGTACTTATATTAAGGTATTGCAATTTTTATTATGATAAGATTTACCCTTTTTTTTAGTTATCATGATTTCTCTGTTTAGAGTCCAATAATAAGAACCTTGTTTCATATTTTATTATATATTTATCATCATATTAATATGTAAAAAGTATAATTTATAGTACATTTTATATAATTTTCAAATATTTAATTTTTTAATTTAAAAATGTCAAATTAATATAATCTAATATAATTTTAAGAATTAATCAAATTAACTTTTGAAAGTTGATTTAATTTGGCAAAGATTTTTTTTTTGAAATTTTATAGTCTTAAATAAATCATAGATATTTGTGTAACTATAAATTATTTCACAAAGGATGGAATGAGTATTCTAAAATTAAATTGTTATTAAATTTATACATATATCAATTTTTTGAACTAACTATAAAAAAAATAAGTCATAAATTAAAACAAATAAAATAATAATTTTAAGCCCGTAAAATTGAATAACATTTTGATAGTATAAATTGCAGTTCTACGTAATAAATAATGTCTGTTTTGTTTGCTTTTATTTATTTATATTTTAAGTTAATACATGTAAATAATTTGAATTTAATTGTAGGATTAGAATAAATTAAACAAATAATAAGATTATGATATGGTATACAATATACTATTTATATTTTCAGTTAAAAAATATACCTTATGGATTATATTTTAAATCTCAATATACCCTCTCATTTATACCTTTTATCATTATATTTGCTCTTGATCTTGAGAAGAAAGTATGTAATAGACTCGGAATTAAATGACTCATCCTCAATTATAAATACTTAATTAAAGAAAAAACACTCACACATTTAACTTATCTCCTCCATCCATAAGCATAGATATATCAATTAGATAAGTTTTCAACTTTTGCACGATAATTTTGCAAAAAAACTCATAATTTTTGTACCTAACTTCGATTAACAAATGATTTAGTGCATTAGGATAGACCCCAAGTTTGATATCCCATTATGTGGGACATATTCAAAATTCGATTAAACATAATTTGGGTAGAATCACGTGCTTTTACATCAGAGTCGAGGTCCTAGGTTTGATTTGGGGTCGGTTTGATATTGAATCGAGGTCGGGTATCGAATCCAGATCGACCTCAGGTCGGAGTTTGGTCTTTGATCGAGCAGATATCTAGTCTTGGATTAGGGCAAGGTCAATGTCATTAAGTCCATTCGAAAATTATTTTCCAAAATATTTAAGCCACTTAAACGTAAGAAAATATTGTGAAAGGTTGGTTGATTTCAATCAACTCATTTAAATATTTTGATTAAAGTGGATTAGAATCATTTTGTCACATCATATGTATAAAGAAAAACTATTTTTGTTATTTCTTCACTTTACACATGTTAAACAATATAATCCAAAGCAGCAAAAGTAAGGAGTTTGATTTGCAAGAAGAGAGTTTAAGAGTGGCTAAGTGTGCCACAAAAGAATAACTAATACCAACCAAATACACATCTTGTATCCAAATATATGACTTTCTAACCATAACAACTCTCTCAAAAATCATCAGTATCTACACATTTGATGACACCAACACCATTACAGGAAGAAGAATAGAAACAAAAATAAAAAAACAAATCAAATCGACAAACAATACATATCTGGTTAACTGAGCGAAGATGAGATGCCATTCTTGTTGCCACTGACAGACGAGGGTTTTCCAACATATTTTTAAAAACAAAAACAGCAAAGCCCTTCTATAATCATAAAGGTGCTACACAGGAATCACATCAATCTTTGAACTGTCCTCGCATCTCAAAACGATACCCTCCAGACTCGCTGGAAGAATACATTTAGACCACTGACACCCTGTTGAAAGTGGCTCGGGAGGGGGAACAATCATAAGAACGTTATCGTTCCGTCGGACAACTCCCATTACACTCACAGTGCTACCTTCTTTTATATACCTGAACAAACATGTGGGACAGGAAAAACCAAACTGAGGCCAACATGCATGGCAGCAAATAAAAAAGTAAACATGAATCAAAGCAGGCATCTAGATATGCATGTTGTAATCAAACAACTCAAGCACAAGAAATATTCAAGTTGAGTTAAACCATACCCTTCTTTCAATCGCATTATTCGGTCATCACTGGATAGATTTCTCTCTGCCAGCCATCTGACAAATTCAGGTGACATGTCCCTATTTGATTGATCAATATCCACAACAATAGACTCTTCGACATAAGGGGTTACTCTAGCACCATACCCAGTTTTGACCAAAGCCCTTAATCCAGACTGGAAATCAGAGATATAGAAATCAGAGACATGCCGCTGCAAAGACAAAGGAAGACTTCAGTTTGAATTATTTCGATGAATTACACAGCATATATGAACAACGCAAGTGTAAATTATGTGGTAAACATAAAAGGGAACGAAAAGAGCAGGATAAAAGCAAAAACAAGGAAAGTGAGGTTCAAATAAACGTACAATCACATCACATCACACAGCAGCATAAAAAAAAAAAAAGGCATTCAAACTTCTCTTGATATCTGGACATGAACTCACAGATATGACGTACTTTGCAACCTTATAAGTCGTTATAACACTTCAAGATATCAATAGTTTTCTCTGTCCCTCTGCCTAGAAGTTTTCCAATGGTTGGTTGGAGCAGTGCTTTGATTGGTTAACTTCAAAACACAAAGAAACTGTTTTCTATAAGCTGGAATTCAAAAAAAATAAATCCGTTATAGCATGGTGATAAGTTATTTGTGCTAGCTTAAATCACATCCAGTCGAAGTCGAAGTCGAAGGGCATTAGGATTCCTACTTATCCCAATAAACAAGAATTAGATAGTTCCCTATAAGTTGGAACCTTCCATTTAAGTGACATTTACTTTTTAAGTTATCTCGGCTGTAAAACTTACTTCAAAGGCACATACATTACTACTTTATCTCAAATCTGAGAAGCGTTCCTGCTTTATTATGTTAGATTTAGAAGATTTCTTGAGCCTACTTTTGTGCCTATTGTTATTCTTTCCTTATTCAGATTATATTTCACACATTCCATATAACTCTTATTTCGAACAAGGAACTCTCAATGTTGAAAACTGTTAAAGCAGTAAGACATGCTTACAATTCCAGACAAGCCCACATCTTTGTTAGTGTTTTTGTTTACTCAACTCTATGATATCTGTTATTTTCTTTGACTTAAAGTCTAGCTGTTGATGCTTGCGTTAGGTAGGTTGTCTACATTACACAGCCTTGGGGTGCAGCCTTTCCCTAAACCCTTCGTGAATGCGGGATGGTTCGTGCACCAAGTGAGTGTGTGACCCTTTTTCAATTAATGTCTAGCTACTGAATTTCGAAACCTCAAGATCTCTCCTTAAAGCTTTTCAGTAAGAAAAAAGAGAAGATAAACAGCATAAGAAAGATCCTCGAACACATTCCATGAAACACAAAAGATAGCATTAAAAAATGAAGCAATATTTATATAGCATAAATTAGTTTCCATCATCATGGGCCACCACTGCAAGGAGGAAAACACAACATCGGTTAAATGAAGAAGACTTATATAATCTTTCCTTACCTCCAGCGTACGAAGACCCCAAGAAAATCGACGATGTTCTGGGTTGGCAGATTTTGAATCCCACCCTCGGTACTCATATAAGCTTGTGACTGTATATACACATCTAGAAACCTTCTGAAACGATGATTCAAGAGGGACATTTCCACAGGTAACT